AAGCGCTGTTGTTTTTGTTTGTTAGACATTCCAAGTTCCAAGCTTGCTGCTTCCATCAGAATGCTGGATAAGATCACTGGTCCACCCAGAGAGTGTCACGCCGGACCATTGCATTTGTCTGTCTGTATGGAGGAAATGCAGTTACAAAAGCAAGAAATCAAACAAATAAATAGGCATATCCTCACATTATTTCATATTCATCCCCCTCTGTGGTAAAGTTTTCCCTGTTCCCTTTTCTGCTATAGACATATTTGCTTTCTAATTGTGTAGAAGTGCTTTGGGTAATAAAAGTCAGTTTTTTTTTTTATGTATTGCGTTAGCTATATCAGTCATGTGAGCACTGTTTGTGCTTATCACATGTGAATGTTCAGATAATAATCCATGTGTGTGTGCCTCGGTGTTGGTGAATACAGTGGTGTGTTTCAGCTGCTTGGAGGCAGGAGTGAGTGTGCTTCTAATCAAACAATAGCGCTCTCTGCTGATCATTCTCCACCTTTTTGACTCCGGGTCCCCATGGAATCATGTTCTTCAATAAAAATAATAGGGAGGGGGGAGGGGGAAAAGTCATGACTTTGTGTTTGTTATCATTTAATTTAAATGAGGGTTTGATATTTGAATATATTAATTATAATTTAAATGAATTTTAAGACTTTTAAGTCATCCTATTTCCCTTTTGAAGTCGGCTGAGTCTCAAATTCCTGTTTTTTGAGTTTGGCAGAGGTCTTTTTTGCTCACTTGACACCCTTCACCAGTAACTGGTGTCAAATAATGATAAGAAAAAGAATTTACTTATTTTTTCATTTAGCACCTTTTAGTGAATTATTCAAATGACAGTCCATCCCTTTTCATCACTATATTTTTAACTGCACGTGTTTAGTAAATCCTGACACTAGGTTTTTTTTTTGCTGTCCACAGACCCCCAGGGGGCGCTAGGCTGTCTTTTTAAAATTAGATTGAAGATTTAAAGGGATAGTTCACCCAAAAATGACAATTCTGTCATCATTTACTCACCCTCATGACGTTCTAAACCTGTATGAGTTGCTTTCTTATGTCGAACATAAAAGAAGATATTTTGAAGATTGCTGGTAATCAAAAAGTTGGTGGTTACCATTGACTTCCATAGTATTTTTTTTTCCTACTATGGAAGTCAATGGTAACCACCAACTGTTTGATTACCAGCAATCTTCAAAATATCTTCTTTTTAAAGCAACTCATACAAGTTTGGAACGACATGAGGGTGAGTAAATGATGACATAATTTTCATTTTTGGGTGAACTATCCCTTTAAGAAAAGCTTATTCTGAAAAGCAAATAATATCTTTCAGATGATATTTTAATCATTTGTTTTCTTAGTGTCATGGCAATATAAAAGACAATTATTTAAATTTGCAAACACATGTTGTCTTTATATATTATGCATGCTAGGTTTTGTGCTTTTTCTCACAAAATATAAATGTGTCCGTATACATGAAAAAATATCGCTGCCTTTGTTTTTTTAGGAAGGGGATTCCTTGCTTTATGTTTCCTTGACAAAGTTCTGCTATTTAAACTTATTTTCATTAGTGGTGTTGTGTGTACTTAAATATGTGATAGGTGAAGAATAATCCATCTGACAGTTTCTGTCTCACTGGCAGTGTGTCCGATAAAACCTTCAACGCTTTCAAAACAATTTACAACACCAAACTTTATCTTCAGTATCCAGCTTATTTGAGGGCCTTGACATCGAAATGTTTTAAAACTCCTGTAATCATAGACAAAAGCTTGTTTTCTAATTTATTTAACCAAACATCTATAATTAGAGACACAAACAATTTCTCAATTGAGTCTGAAAACATCTTTTCTCATAATTGCACTAAAAATGTCATGTAATGTTTATTTTAAAAAAGCATTGTGGGAGTAATACGAGATGTTTACCACATAGGGGCAGCATGGTAAAAGTAATTCAGTTGGATTTATATTCACTTTTTTTTGTTTGTTTGGTTTTTATTTTTGTAGATTTTAATATGTGAACCTCTGACAAAAGTCCATTTAAAGGGGAATGTCTATATAACTGGTATATGTCTATAACCACTGGTATATCCACTTTAACACTCCAAAATGCACAAGATATGAATGTGTGCTCTTACGGACCTGCATGAACAGGCAAGCAAACATTTATACATCTATATAAAAGTATAAATAGTGTAAAAAAAATAGTGTTTCTGGAAGAGACCACTACTATAAATGCTTCTATTCGCCTTGTTAATTGAATACGTTTATACTCTTTCTGTCTTTTATTATACACACATACTTTTCAGCAGAAAAGTGTGTTGTAGCCTGACAGCCGTTGCTGCGTGTGGGTGTGAAAGTGAAAGTGACATGTGGCAACCCATACTAGGAATTAGTGCTCTGCATTTATCCCATCCAAAGTGCACACACACAGCAGTGAACACACACACACACACACACACACACACACAGCAGTGAACACACACACACACACACACCGTGCACACACAGTGGGAGAGAGCGCTGTACATTCACTCCCCCCACCTACAATCCGTGCCGGTACGAGAGTCGAACCCACAGCCTTTGGGTTACGAGTCCGACTCTCTAACCATTAGGCCACGACTTCCCCTGTGTGAGATGAGTTGAGGGCTCGGAGACGTGGCTGTGTGTACGTGGTGCGGCAGTATTTGCCCATATAAACTGAAGACTAGTGAATATGCATGCTTTTTCCCACATATGGAGCACATTCCTTCACTCCAGGCGAACACAGTCCACTTCCTGTTTTAGTAAGCCGGCTGTTTACTGATACTTTTACTCTTTCACCAGCAACTCGACAATCTACACACTCCAGTGGTTCTAATTTTCCATTCATCTTGGTTTTATTCCTCATGTAATTTTGGTTTTGTGTGGTTTGTAAATACATTCGGATCCGACTGCCACAGCTTTCAGTGTGGAGGCGAAGCATTTGACATGTTCTTATACTGATTTGTTTCAATCTGGAAGTCTGCGATTTGGCAAACTGCGTGGGTGTGTTTTTGTTTGAGAGACGTGGGCTGTGGAAAAAGTTTTGGAATCATGAGATGTGTGTGTCTGATTGATGTAAACCATATGGGCTGGGTTAGGTCAGATAGAACGCTAGGATAAGAAATAAAGATGAGATAGAAATAATATAAAGGATGTTAAATGCTGGCAGTGCAGTAGGCAGGGTCTAAAATTAACACAAACATTGACAGTACAGACTTTTACAGTATTACAAAAATTATATTTCCAATTAACCCTCTGGGGTCTGAGGTGATTTTGGGGCCCTTGAGATGTTTTGACATGCCCTGACATTTGTGCTTATTTCAGCTACTTATAACATACTATTGGCCAACAGGTATTTTTTATTTTTATTTTTTTGTATTCAGCACAAACTGTGCTACAATAATATGTGAGCAAGATTGATGTACATGTTTGCATTTAAAAAAAAAAAAAGGTTATGCGTGGTTAGTAAGTTTTGGCCGGGAAAATGTAGCTGAAATAAGGCCATAAAACCTATACTGAATAGTTCTGAATAAGACTTTTGAGTGATCAGTCTTGTAGGCTAGAATTTTTATATCAAAATGATGTGAAAATCATCCTGCTCACTCATTCACAGAAAACAATATATTGATTTAAATTTTGTAAGACATGTTTTGTGATAGTCGAGCTTTATGTTTGATGAACTTTCTATTCATCAAAGAATCCTGAAAAATTATAGCAAGCAGCACAACTGTTTTCAACATTGATAATAAAAAGAAATGTTTCTTGAGAATTAAATCAGTGTATTAGAAGAATTTTGAAGGAGACAGGAATAGTGGCTGCTGAAATTTCAGCTTTGTATCACAGGAATAAATTACATTTCAAAACTTGTTCAAATAGAGAACAGTAAAACACACACAAAAATATATTAATATTTTGAATAATATTTGACTATAAATGCAGCCTTGGTGAGCATATATGATCTTAAAAATAAACATATGTGACCCTGGAGCACAAAAGCAGTGTTAAGTCGCTGGGGTATATTTGTAGCAATAGCCAAAAATACATGGTATGGGTCAAAATTATTGATTTTTCTTTTGTCAAAAATCATTAGGATATTAAGTAAAGATCATGTTCCATGAAGATATTTAGTAAATGTCCTAATGTAAATATATCAAAACATAATTTTTGATTAGTAATATGCATTGCTAAGAACTTCATTTGGACAACTTTAAAGATGATTTTCTCAATATTTTGATTTTTTTTTTTTGTTGCACCCTCAGATTCCAGATTTTCAAATAGTTGTATCTCAGCAAAATATTGTTCTATCCTAACAAACCATACATCAATGGAACGCTTATTTATTCAGCTTTCATATGATGCATAAATCTCAATTTAAAAAAATTGACCCTTATGACTGGTTTTGTGCTCCAGGGTCACATATTATCCTAAGATCCATTTGTTTAATAATTGTGCATGGATTTCTTAGTCTCTATGGTTAATATTAGTTTAATGTTTATAAATTTGATTTAAACTATGTTGTTGCTAGTTAGTTTTTTTAATTTCATGTTATTATAAATGTGATTATTTGATCTAATAGCTGTTGTTCTATTATTTGTTGCATATTTGTATGTCTTGCGTTTAAACAAATTATTAAAAATTATTGTTCTATTACGTAATACTGTGGCAAGCCTGAAGTTATTTCAATTTCTTTTATTAATTGATTGCTTGATTGTTATTTCAACTTGTATTGCTTGTTTGCTCACCAAGGCTGCATTTATTGTAAAATATTATTACAAATATTAATATATTTAAATATGTTTGCATGTTATACTGTTCTCTATTTGAATAATTTTATCTGTTATTGAATTTACATATTGATAATATTTTGACAATAAAGGAAAACAATAAATCCTTAAAATGACCGTATGTTTGAAACTTGTGAAAGATTTCATATACTGTATGTAGATTCTGTTTTTTTTTCTGTTGTGTTCTTAAATGTTTGATGTTTAGAGGACACTGGGACGTATTTCCCCAGTGTGAAGTGCTGTCCTGGCAGTTACCTGCAGCCCTGCTCAGATGCGGTGAAGAGCTGGTTGAGGAGCATGAAGAACAGCGGGAAAATCCTGCTGCTCATCACCAGCTCACACTCGGACTACTGCCGCCTCGTGTGCGAGCACATACTCGGGTGAGTTTTATGTACGCCACAAATACACCATACACAAAATAAATAAATGAATAATAAAATATTGAAATTAGGAAAAAAATGATTGGGGATCCGCTGAGAGTCAGCTGATGCGAGCTTGACTAACGTGACCTGCCAGAACTAACGCTACGCTAGATTTTTATTAAATCAAGACTTTGCCAGAGTTATTAACAATATAAAACCTTTAGAATTCAAAGTCTCTTGGGAGAAACCAGGCTCAGTCTGGGGGCCAGTTCTCCTCTGCCCCAAGATCCAGTGTTTTGTTTGAATTAATTCAATCTAGTAAGAAACTCATATGCATAGTGAGGGGAACACAGTGGGAAATTACTTTTTTTATTTAGCATAGGATTCTGGGCAATGCAGAGAATTTTGGCATCCAAATATCTCCCTACAAATAATTTCTCATTTTTTGCAGAATGGACTTTGAGGAGCTGTTTGACATCATTATCACTAATGCTCTGAAGCCTGGATTCTTCTCTTTGGTTCCACAGCAGAGACCTTTCAGAACTCTGGGTGAGGAGCTAACAGATGTTTGCCAGGACTCTGAAATCGACTGCAGTGGTTATGCTGTGTGCTGTGAGGACAGTGCAGAAAGATGTTCTCTATTTATTGTCTTTGTATTATTATTCAGTCAATTCAGAACTATACATGCTGTAGAAAAGCCAAGTGTATTAAGTATTACTGTACAGAAGTAGTATTTGTTATACTCATTATGTATAGACGCAGTTTATTTCATCGGTCTTAAAATATTACCCACTTTCTCATCTGGGTCTCAATAGTGAATGATGTTGAAGATAGTGAAGGGCTGCCGTCTCTGGAAAAGCCTGGTTGGTATTCTCAGGGCAACTGGCCTCATCTACACGAACTACTGAAGACCATGACCAACAAATCAGAGCCCAAGGTAGGACAGGACTGTTTCCTAGTCTTTGAATCTGACTGCAGATACTCCCTGTGTGTAATGCAAAGGTACAGAGGTATGACAGAAACAGGCTTGTGTGTATGGAGGCTCAGGCTTTATGGTTGCTGTAGCATTTTGAAACCTACTTGAAATCCTTCTGGGTGTTTAGATTTTCCCATGGGTATTTTTTTGGAGCTATATTTTGTTCAATAATTTCAATTCAAACTGGTCAAAAAATTTTAGCATACAAGTGTTTTGTTATATTATTAACTTGTTACTTTCACTGTTCATTTTATTGCTCTATGGTATTTCATCTTTCATTTAACAACGCATTGGAGCAGCTCCATTGCAGCAGCTCAATACTGTAATCACAAGACGTTTTCCTTTAATAATGCAGGGAACCACTTGTTATACATAGATCTTATAACAGCAATGGACATATTTTTCTGAAAAGTCCTGCGACTCATATAATGCAGTTAACATCAAGCAAGTGAAGCAAAACATGCGCAACAAGTGCACACATTTGTATCTGTGCAGAATGAGAGAGACTTCACAGAGGCTGATAGTTTTACTTTTCGCTTTAAATGAAGTCATGTATGCTTGACGTTTATAATAAATGTTGTTTATAGTGAATTCCCCTATCATTTTTGTTTGTTTTATATTTATGATTTAGTTTTAATCCAAATGATGAATTGCAGTGAAAGGCCCTGTTCTTCGGGGGTGTTCAAACAAAAGCAAGAGCACCCTCTGTAATAATAATATTACATATCTGGCAAACAATCTGGTGCCTATTTGTGTTTGCGCTCTGGAGTATGTCAAAAGTTTCCCTTTACAACATGTTTTTGCAGCAGTGAGCAATGTAGCCAATCAGAACATTCTTGAACGCAATGGTCAATCAGAGGCATTTTTGTTAGAATACACTCACTGCTCGCAAAGCTGGAGATTTGTCCAGCGCTAAATTCTGCATGCTTGCGAATCATCTCATTATTACAAAGTGTAGACGTGATGTAAAAAGAGATTCATTGTGCAGTGTAGCGCTTCATTGATTATAACAGAACTTTGTGAGATTGCAATGAACTAAGATAAGTGATTGTTTTTTAGTGAGTATAAAGGGAGCACTCTTTGCGCCATAGTAATGAATGGCACAAAATATATGTGAAGCTATATATTTTGATATAATATTATACATAAATCTAGTGTATGTGATGTGGTTGTATATGATTTGGTAATATGGGAGAGCCTATATGGGCCATTCTACAGAATTGGTCCAAAGTCAGAGTTGGAAACGTCTTTTCCAAAAAAAATTGTATGTATGCAAATTGTATAATATCTAAGGTACACATTTCTAGTAATTGTGCACTTAATTCTCATATTGTATTTTCAGAAAGTTTTGGAATATTTGTCCTCTCCCCAAATTTGTCACTACCGAAACACAGTAATCATAATTTAATTAGAAGGGTTATATTGACATATTAAGATTTTGTTTACATCTACATTGTAAATATATATTTATAAAAAAAATTGTCAGACATAAATCAATAGCAATTACATTTTTAACAATATTTCAAGTGTAATTTATGAGATTTGTTGTATTTTGCATCCAGTTTTTCTTTGTAAAAGGCAAAAAGTTGATCATACTGATTTCAAAGTTAAGGATTCATTAGTTTGAATATGCATTGAACCAAAAACAATCATAACATCTTAGTTGATAATTCAGTATACTTTATTTTTGACAAAACATCCCATGTTTCGGTCATGACTGCACATTTTCGGTAGTGACAGTAATGCTTTGGTAGTGACCACATCACATTACAGAATTTTAACTTGCATACTAAAACATACTAAAATACAAAACAATTGCATAACTGCTAAAGTTTTGTTTATTTTCCCCAAATATGAGGATTATGTGTTTCCTTTTGTCACTACCGAAACAATGGTGACATGTTTCGATCGTGACTGTTTCGGAAGTGACCATTTTATGGCATAACACCCCCCAAAAAAAACAAAGATGTCACTACCGAAACCAAATGTTTCGGTAGTGACAATTTGGAGATTTGTTGTATTTTGCATCCAGTTTTTCTTTGTAAAAGGCAAAAAGTTGATCATACTGATTTCAAAGTTAAGGATTCATTAGTTTGAATATGCATTGAACCAAAAACAATCATAACATCTTAGTTGATAATTCAGTATACTTTATTTTTGACAAAACATCCCATGTTTCGGTCATGACTGCACATTTTCGGTAGTGACAGTAATGCTTTGGTAGTGACCACATCACATTACAGAATTTTAACTTGCATACTAAAACATACTAAAATACAAAACAATTGCATAACTGCTAAAGTTTTGTTTATTTTCCCCAAATATGAGGATTATGTGTTTCCTTTTGTCACTACCGAAACAATGGTGACATGTTTCGGTCGTGACTGTTTCGGAAGTGACCATTTTATGGCATAACACCCCCCCAAAAAAACAAAGATGTCACTACCGAAACCAAATGTTTCGGTAGTGACAATTTGAGATACTTTTGGACCTATCTCAAAGATGCTAATCAGCACATGGTTAGCTAGCACAGTTCTGAACAGTTGTACACACATAAAAATTAAATGATATGGGAAAAACTCCCAAAAAAGTCTGCTTAATTGCAGAAAAAAAGGTGTTCGGTAGTGACGTTCCTTAGAGTTACACACAGATTTTTCAGACTTTTGAGTACATTTACCTCAAAATGATGGAACCTATCTACTCACCTGTAGCTATAAGAGAGAGACACATAAATATTTCCTGATCATAAATGCAGTCTCAGCCAGTGGACTAAAACATACACTGTTTCGGTAGTGACATGAAAATGCGGGACACATTTTTTTTACATAAAGTTTCATAATTTACAAAGAAAATATAAAATAAATATTTTTGAACTTCACTTTTTAAAAGAATCAAAAATATATATTTAAAAATAACAATGGAAAAAGTACAAAAGCTATTTCAATATAATTTTCATAAGTTGAAATCATGAAGGGGTTAGGGTACGGGAAAGCAACCTCCCAATTGAAAGTACCCAATAAATTATGATTTTATATACAGTGGTGTGAAAAAGTGTTGGCCCCCTTCCTGATTTCTTAAAAACCTTCATTTAAAAACTGCATGTTGTGTTCACTTGTGTTATCTTTGACTAATATTTAAATTTGTTTGATGATCTGAAACATTAAAGTGTGACAAACATGCAAAAAAATAAGAAATCAGGAGGGGGGCCAACACTTTTTCACACCACTGTATATATATATTAAGCTCACTAATCTTTTAAATATTATTGTGGGTTTCAATAGATAATAGAAGGATCTTAGTAAACATAAGATTTTAATACTTAAATGCTTTTAAAATGTGTTTTTTGGTTGTGGGACAGCAGTTTGGACCAATTCTGTAGAATGGCCCATATACTGGTCAAAATTGGGCTGACTCCTTGATTTTTGTAAGCATGCTTAAAAATTATCGGTCACTTGGGAGGCGCTCTGCTCGTCATTTCTCCCGATGGGAGAAAATAACATACTAACTTGTACGACAGCAAAAATCGCACCGTGTACACCCGGCCTTACCATAATCGCAAATTATATGTACAGTTAATAATGCTGTCCCCTGATAGCACACGAACATCACAGAGACGTCTATTTGATGACTGCAAGACTTATTGCTCATCTGCAAGATGTCTATAGGACGTTTCCTATCAGATGTCAAATAGACGTTTAGAAGATGTCTTTATCTTCTGCTATCATTTGGCAGCCGCTCTGCTCGCCCTCAGCCCACCATCATTGCGGTGCGAGCTCCGCGGGACTGCCATCCTCCAGCGTCGCCGTGGCTGGAGTCTCCCTTGACTCCGCCTCCAGCCTCTGAGGCCTGGACTCCGCCTCGGCCCGTTGACCCGTCGGCTCCACCGTGGCTCCTAGCTCCCTCCTCTCCGTCGTGACCCGGCATTCCACAAGCTCCGCCAGGCTCCCTCGTCCCTCCGGCTCCGCCTTGGTCTGGTGTCGACCATCCTGCGCCTCGGGACTGCACTCCTCTGGCTTCTCCTCGTCCCTCCGGCTCTGTCAGGCTCCTTCATCCCCTCGGCTCCACCTCAGTCATCTGTCGCTCCGGATCCACCGCGGCCTCCCGTATCCACATCTCCGCATCGGTCGCCGGCGCCATCTGCTCTGCCTAGGACCTCCGAATCCTCCCCATCGCCCTGGCTCATCGACTCTCCGTCTCCGCCTCGGGCTCCTCCACCACCTGCTCTGCCGCCTTGGTCTGGTGTCGACCATCCTGCGCCTCGGGACTGCACTCCTCTGGCTTCTCCTCGTCCCTCCGGCTCTGTCAGGCTCCTTCATCCCCTCGGCTCCACCTCAGTCATCTGTCGCTCCGGATCCACCGCGGCCTCCCGTATCCACATCTCCGCATCGGTCGCCGGCGCCATCTGCACTGCCTAGGACCTCCGAATCCTCCCCATTGCCCTGGCTCATCGACTCTCCGTCGCCGCCTCGGGCTCCTCCACCACCTGCTCTGCCGCTGTTGGTCGGCCCCTTGGAGTCGGCAGCCATTCCTCCTCCATGACTCCTCCCTCCGTCGGCTCCACCGTGGGTCGACATGGCGGTGGCCTGGGTCTTTTTTTACTCCTCTTGCTCCGGGTCCCTCCTGTCTCCTCCCTGGCTCCTCCCTGGCTCCTCCCTCCTTCGTCACCCCTCCTGGTCTCTGTCTGCCGGCCTCCTCCCGAATATCCGTCCTCCTCCGGAACCGCCTCCCTCTGTTGTTGCTACGGTGCGAGGATGCACCTTCCGGGAGGGGGCGTTATGTCAGGATTATGGACTATTCTGTGTGTGTGTTTTTGCCCCGTGACCCAGTTTCTTCCTCATGTTGGTTGTGTTAATTTGATTCCAGGTGTGTCTTGTTCCTCCCCAATTATCCTGCCTTTAAAAGCCCTAGTCCTTTCAGTTCTTGTTTGTCGGGTCTACTTGTTGAATGTCCTCCTTGTTCTCGGTTTTCCTGTGAATTTTTAAAGACTGTGTTATTCAAGTACTCCTTGTTCCTTGCTCCCCAAGTGAATTTGTGACACCTTTTGTATTTTGTGATTCATTTATTTCCTTTGCTTCAAAAAGTCAGAGCCAGTGTTATGCAAGTTTTCCTTTTTCTGTCAAACTATAGGAATTTCTGATCAACTGCTTCCTTTTTTCGCAGATCAGAGAGTTTCACTCTGTTGAAGTCCTTCTGTTCAGTTGCATCTTGACAAGCTGAGAGAAATAGTTTGCTTCAGATCTCTGCTTTTATACTGGACATCAAATGGTGACCCAACTCAAAAGCATGTCCTTAAACTTTTAATTTCATTTATATTTATTTTCCTTGTCAATAATTTATTGGACAAAACACTTTGTTTCTGGTTGACATGTTTATTCTAATTGCAAGTTAAGTCATATTTGCTTTTGCCTTGTGTTTGGTTTTTAAAGATGAATACATGCCATGAAACTTAAAACTTGTCTGTGCTGGCATCTGCCTATGTTGTGATGAATCTGCACCAGAAGAGTGAAGAGTTAAGTTGGATGTTGTAATAAAAAAGATATGGAAACATTTCCTACCTACTTTTAAATGTTTAGTAGTCATAAATATAGCCTTGCTGACAGCACTCCGACATATGGCGACTCACCGTCTCTTAACAGTAAGGTATGATGTATGGTCAGCGGTTGGTGAAAACATTATGTCTATTTTGGTTTGGGACCATATTATCTACAACCGCTGTTAAGAAGGTGCATCATGTGCACCTTCTACAGAGGCACCATCGAGAGCATTCTGACGAGCTGCATCACTGTGTGGTATGGAGCCTGCAACGCGTCCTGCCGCAAGACACTTCAGCGCATAGTGAGAGCAGCTGAGAAGATCGTTGGTGCCTCTCTCCCCGCCCTCCAGGATATTTACAACACCCGTCTCACCCGCAAAGCCCTCTGCATTGCAGGTGATCCCACCCACCCAACACACAGCTTCTTTAGTCTGCTGCCATCACGGAGGAGACTGCGGAGTCTCCAGGCCAGGACCAGCAGACTGAAGAACAGCTTCATCCATCAGGCTGTCAGGAAGCTGAACTCCCTCCTGACCTTGCCTCCCCTCCCCTCTTTTGCCCCATGCACCACTGAACTCTGACCCTCTGACGGACTCTCCCACTCCCCCCTCCCTAATACACACACTGTCACTTTAATCAGTCTAAATAAGCTCTTTTGCACTACAAATCATTATATCTGCACTGTTGTCTACTTCACTGGTTTGCACTCTATCTGCCATGTGCCTTGTGCTGCTTTATATATATATTTTTTACATTTTACCTTATTTGTATAGTTGTATTTTATATTTAATCTGTATATCTATATTTATTTTCTACTGTTAATGTAATCTGTATGCACCAAGGGTCTGAGAGTAACGCAATTTCAATTCTCTGTGTGTATGTGCTGTACATGTGGAAGAATTGACAATAAAGCAGACTTGACTTGACTTGACTTAAATAGTGCACTCCTGACTCCCATTTTTAAAGCTAAATGCTATATCACATAAATCTCAACATAGTCACTCTGGCATGCTGAATTATGTAACGTTATGTCTGATGCTGCACACATGGGTTTTGTCAGGCTTGACTGACCTTGTGCTCTTTCTCTTTCTCTCTCTCTTTCTCTTTTTGTCTTTCATGTAATCTTTCTCTTAGGATCAAGGAATGAAATCTCCTTCAGCTGTATCAAACCAGTGGGGCTCATATTTTGTGGACATGCAAAAGAATGAAGGAGAGGAGACACGGAGACTCACCTGGTGTTGCCACAGTATCCACACATACAGCACCATGGCTATACCCAGCATTGAGGCTATAGCAGGTAAGTCTATTTAAGGGGGTCCAAAGGGGGTCCAAAAGTCTCAGACTGGTCCTGAAAATGTTTCCATTTTGCATTCTTTTCTCATTTAGAAAAGAAGATTTCTTAGTATTTAGTATATAAAAAAACATAATATTTGTCATTTCACCCTTTTCGTTTAATGACAACTTTCCTTAGCCAGTACAGTTGAATTTGTTGAATACAATGAACGTGGCTTTGGATAAATTCTGAACTAGAAATTGTACATCATAACTTTCAAAATCCTATAGTTCTGTTCTAAGATTTAATTTTCAATCACGTCTGAAGCTTTTGGCTCCCGCTGTATATACTGAACACATCACTGAGGAAACAGTTAACAGGGGTTTTCCGTTCTCTTTAATTCCAAAGCCAAGCCTCAACATGGGAAATGAGGATCCAATGAGTACGGGTATCATTTGCAGAGTTTGGTGAATCTTAATTTCTGAACTGACTAATCAAAGAACTTAAACTTACAGGGGACCTATTATGCTTTTTTGGACTTGACCTTTCTTTTAGTGTGTAATGTGGGTATTTGTGTATGTAATAGATCTGCAATGTTGCACAGCACAAAGTGTGACTTTGTGCTTTGTAACTTTGCAGATTGATTACACTGCTGGTAACTGTTTCTTTAGTGACGTGTTCAGTTCATACAGCGGGAGCCAAAAGTCTGAGATGAAAAAGCTTATAAAAATGACTGGTTCAGGCAGTTTGATGCTGGTCAGTGTTTTGTATGGACATAAACACTGACACTATATTATTTATTTATATTTTTATATATTATATATATATTTTTTTTTACGTTTAACTCATATTCTAGTAGAACACCTGTAAATGAGAATAATATGGGCCTTTTAAATGTATCAAGACTTCATCTGGATTTTACATTTTAGATAAATCATCACTAAACTCTTTTTAAAAAAAAAACTTTAACTATCAAAATGTTTTTAGTTTTGTCTTTCAGCATAACGGATCATCACTTGATTTTGATGATGTGTGTAAATAATGGTTAGATGCTAGGCAATTATTTTTCTCGACCATGGAGATATTATAACACAGAAACACGCAACATGAAAGTAAAATTGTATTAAAACCATTTGCACTGAACTGAAAGAGAACTCTTTTCTTTTTCTTTTTTTTTAGTTTTATAGGGACATTATTCGGTTTTGCAATACTGCAAATATTGACCCTTGTACAGAACGTTTTTTTGTGATGTTTCTTCACTTTAAATAAAAGTGTGTTCTGAATGATTCAATGGAATGTTACATTTTAAAGACTGCTTTGGCTGATTAGATTCTGAAAGATAAAATAATTATTTTTCAGTAATATCAATAGTAATTACTTATATTATTTATTTGATGTATACTCTTATTTGGTGTAAAATGGTATCTTTTCAATTGATAATTGTCCCCTACCATCTGGGGCATTTGTTGCACTCTTACATTTTTTTTTTTATTAAAGCTGCAGTCCGTAAGGTTTGCCTCTTTGTCGCCATCTCTGTTTGAAACCCTGGAATTGCAGCTGTGTGCGGAATTATCTTCCTTGCGTGGGTTTTGAGTCGGCACGGCTCCAGCGCAGATGAATCTAATGTTCTGAAGAGTATGTGTGGCAGTCAGTCACCGCACCGGTGTGGATATTTACTGTACTTCAGAATCACAGATTCTAGCCTACGTCTTGGAATATGACCCAAATAAGAATTTTCACCTTATATTGCCATCTGAACAAGTAACAAGTCTGCCACGTTTGTTCTGACCAACTGAGGAAAAAAGCATTACAATAAATCTCGCTACCAATAGTGATTAAATCAAACCGTTCAAATTATTATTATTGTTATACTTTATTCTCAAATGATTAATGTTAACAACATCAGCATTGGTGACTATGAGTATAGTGTGTATTAGCATGTAGATTTCGATTTCTGCACAGTCTAATCTAATTGTCATACTCTTCGAATTTCATATTAAGAAATTCTTTTAACCCAAAAAGCAAATGATGCTCCCTTCGAACTGGTTTTCTTTAAAATACAAATCTTTGTAATCCCAGACTATCTGTAATCAGAAGCACATTTATAACTGGAATATAATTAAATTTCATTCACATGTGTTTCATAAACACATAATCCTTTCTGGATTACAAGCCGCCATCAAAATGATACATTTAATTATTCTGGCTGCTGTGAGAAAAGGCTATAAACCATCCGCCAGCTGCAGGATCCTCACATCCGATAGCCTAGTAGCCGGGACAACTTCTTTATGTTTACAGACGTGATGTAATGACGCAGTGCAATGCTCGAATTTCCCGCAAAAACCTACCCGTACCACTCAAATTAAAAAACATTATTATAAACTGACCGTTGTGAATCGGGCTAAAGTAAGGCGATAGTTTTGAACACTGGCTGGTTATGTACTTGCTCAAATATTGATTTTGGATCATTTTTAACCTAAAAAAGTTACGGACTGCAGCTTTAAATATTTCAATCTTAACTTTTTCTGTGTAAATATTAAATTTTTATTGTACTTAAAGTTTGTTTTATATTTTGTCTGTGAAACCTCCACCTGTTCCATCTCTCTTCTAGATCTTCCTCTAGACTTCAAGTTCCAGAGATTCTCTTCAGATAAGCCCATCACGACAGGTTATTACCCCAGACCTCCAGACTCACTGCTGAAATGGGAAGAAAACTAGCCCCAAACCCTCACGCCTGTCAGCATAAGCCAGGAGATTGTTTCACCATTACGTTCTGGAGCTTCACCACAGAGCTAGACCAGCCATTCGTCCAATCAATGATAAAGCTGTGTGAATGTAACACCCAGAGCACCCAGAGTCTGTGTATTTTCTTCTCACCCCTTCCTGAATCACTACAGTATACACAGTATGAAGTTGTGTCTGTACACGTGCTGAAATATCTGTACATTGATCATTGGATGTAGGAGGAAGTCACAGTGTATTGTGTCTCACCCAGCGTCGTGCACTCACTACCATTAAACTACTTTTAATGGTGTACAGAGGAAAAAACATAGCTTTCATTTGAGCTGTGTGTGTTTTTTGTTTTGTTCCATTCTGTTTTTATAAAGGGAATGTTATATGACCTCAGAGGGTTTGTTCTTGCAGCTGTTGTAAATGCTTTCTGAGGAAAACAGGCACAAATTATATTGAATATTCATGCAATCAAGAAACAGCCATGAGTTCTTTGCTCCTTTTGTGATTGGTTGATGTTTTGAGAGTGTTGTAAACTGCAAAGTTGTGTTACAGGTTCAGATCTGGGCCGGTTTATTATAGAATAATGTAATTTGTTTTACTTTCCATCATTTGATTATGATTTCAAGTACTTTGGGTTACTGTAGTTTACTGTATGCTGCAGACGTTTCTGTGACATATGGGAAAATGGACATCATTCTTCCAAGCGCCAGTGCTAAGAGGAATAGTTTACCCAAAACTAAAAATGATTTATTCACCATCACGTTGTTCCAAACCATTGAACTGTTGCTGGAAAATAAAGGCATTGCTGAGTAATCTTCACACAGCTCTTTCCATACAATGACAGTTCATAGTGACCACATGTGTTAAGCTCAAAAAAGTACAGAAATAAAAGCAAATGAATCTAGCCTGTATGAATCATGTGCTACAATTCAAGTCTTCTGATGCCACAAGAAGACCATTTGTTGTTATTTATTGATAATTTTTCCCTCCAATGAGTTGTTATAGCAACATTGTACCAGTTCACTGATTTAGTGAGATCTGGATCATTGAATTCATTGGTATCTTGAGGTGCGTCTTTTAAAGGAACTAGTTGATCCAGTAAATTATGTGCTTATAATCAGACTGATCTGTTTAACTTGCAGACTCGATGATCCAGTTACAGCAGTTCTCGAGTTAACAGCTCACTGACGGAAAAGTTTATCAGTGGAAACAAGACTCACATTTTGTTCTGTTTCTCGCACAAAACTATCATAAGACTTGAAATACAGCAAATAAGTACTATGTATGGTTTAGATGTTTCAAGGAAGAACGAAAGCCATACAAGTTTGTAGCAACACAAGGTGAGTAAAGAATTAATTTAGTGGTGAACTATTCCTTGTAAATGCATTTAGTTTCAGGTCCTCATTGTTATTGAATGATTTTTTTTTTCTGTGTAATGTAATGTTATCGTAACATTGTGTAAAAAAAAAAAGTGCTGCTGTTGGGTGATAGTCAATGTAAACAGTCAGTTTCTGTCATGCACAGGACCAGTGTTGAATGGTGCCAAGTGTTACCCACCCATTTAGTGATTTTATGTGTCGGCACATCTCTCACCTAAAACCTCTTATTTGTTTCTTGTGTGTGCTGGCCCTGAGCTTTAATAATGTTTAGTTTAAAGCAATGTAAGTGGAATTGATGTTTTTATGTTGAGTGCTCTGATGAGGTTTCTGCAGTGGTAGGCTGTAATGGATTTTACATAAAAATGGTACAGTGTTAAAACACACTGCATGATAAAGGTTTTACAGAGATGCCCAAAACTGAGTATTAAGTGACACTAGGCAGCTTCATCGTGGGTAGAGAAGTGTGGAAATCCTCATCATAAGCATGACCTGCTTCTCTCAATTTAAAAGAAAATGTCTCTTCTTCTGTATGTGGTGAGTAGCACTAGTGCTTGTTTATTGAGTGCAGGGAAAAGTGTTAATATGTGCAGATAAAATAAAAAAGAAAAACAAATTGTAATCAGTGTTTAAGAGATGTCATGTGTTGTTGCTCCTGATTTCCATTGCCTATTTGCAAATTATGCAATATTAATGTTATAATGTTAAAGGTGACATATCATGAAAATCTGACTTTTCCAGGTTTTAAGTGCTATAATCAGGTCCCCGGTGCATCTACCAACCAAGGAAACATGAAAAAGTTTAATCCAGTAACTTTGTTTTGGTAAGCCTTTTTCTGCAAGCATCTGAGAAAACGAGTGCGTCTGATTTTGCTCCCTTGGTGATGTGGCAAAGGGATCTCATTATAATATTACCGCCCCTTAATCTGTAAATTTCCACCCACGCCGCCGTTACTGTGTTTTCGCAAGCGACAACAGTGTACTAGTTCTAATGCCATAGCGAAAGTTTGAGCAAAACATGCTAACTGTTCTGTCATTGGCTGAACAGACGAGCACAGAACAATAACCAGAACCAGCCTCAGAGGAGACAAGAGAGCAGTGGATTTATTGTTTTATTTAATGTATATTGCTGCTGCCACACAGATCTAAAATAAACATGCAATTTAATCCCAGCTGTTTACCTTCACAGACATAACCGACTGTTCCCTTTCGATACTACACTCGTACTGCGTCTTTGCTAGACGCTATGGGAAAAAGTCATTTTTTTCTCCTGAACTGAAGCCTTTTTCAATCACGCAGTGAAACTGCACGGTCATTGGTTCGTGCAGTATGTTTTTAAAAAAACCAACCAATGGCTCGGCAGCGGTACTGCACAAACCTATGGCAGCGAAGCCCTCCAAGCCTGCGTAGTCATCTGGCTATATAAGCAGCCGATTCGCCATAGGATTCAGATTTCTTTTCCTTCAGCGATGATGATGTTCTTCGCGATCTCCACTGACTGAAGAGCCTGCTCACCGTTGACACGCCTCTGCAGAGGATTAAGCTTGAACAGCGACCTCTCTGCTCGGCTGATTTGCCGCTCCTCCCGACGTAGACCCTATTCCAGTTAATTCCCCTGCCGCCATCCGGCGAGCCTAAAAGAGCTTATTTCTAAGAGTTAAGTTCTTAAAAGAGCAAATTTTCTGGTGATGTTGTTGCAAATGTCACTGCGAGTGTGGCTCATGCAGGGAGCCCTGCAGGATGCAGAGGAGTAGTGAGTGTGTCACCTGTCTGTGCAGCCCCCACACAGAGACTGCACCTCACTGAGACAGAATGCTCTCGCTGAGAGCAGGAGTCTCACCCCTCTCCACTCGCGCCTCGCCTTCTAAAGAAGGCAGACCCGCTCTCTCGTTTCTCTTCTCTCAGTAAAGCCCGGAGATAGAAACAGCAGAGCCACGTGTCTGAGCAACCATTGAGCAATCGCACACCGGCACAGAGCCCACGTGCCCGCACTCCCCGCTGCACCTTGATCCGCCGGTGTGTTTTACACGTGAGAATCAGCGCCCCTCGTTATATCGAGGGGCTCTAACCTCCTGGGTGGATCAGAACACTGTCACCTCTCTATTGTTGACAGCTTCGCATTGTGTGTGCTGAAACTGCGCTCAGACAGGCTGCTTTCATTCTAAAGCCCCAGTCTGTTCCTGCTTCGCTCGCTGGTCCCCTCCCGCTCTCATGTTTCTCCCCCTTCCGGTTACCTTGGAGAAAGAAACGGCGAATTTGCAGTTTGAGTGATCAGGCTTGAGTGATCTTACGCTGAAACACATCCCGCATGCCTCGCTTGATCCACCAGTGTGTGTGGGTTACACGCGAGGATCAGCGCCCCTCATTACATCAAGCGGCGCAGCTTTGCATTTGTGTGTGTTGCGGAGGCTGCTTTCACTTTTGAAGCGTGAGTCTGTCCCTGCTCTCGCGTTTCTCTCTACACAAAGATCATCAGTACCCCTCTTTTAATGAGCGGTTTTGATCTTTTTAGGTGGATTGAAAGGGACCCTGCAAACAAGTCTGCACTGGCCCTTTACGGGCCCACTTACGGCTAGCCTAAGGGCCCCCAGTGGGCTGCCAGCGCAGGGCCTCTGAGAGTGCTGGCCCTGCATGGGCAGCCCTCACTTGGCCCACACTATTAATCTACAACAGGGGTGCCCAACCTGGTCCTGATCAAACACAACTGAACCAGCTTATTACGATCTGAAGGAGCACTTGATAATTACAGACAGGTTTGTTTAATCAGGGTTGGAGCTGAACTCTGTGGGAAGGTAGATCTCCAGGAACAGGATGCACCACTGGTCTTTGGGAAAAACAGTTATTATACATCTGAAATGGATGCAGTCACCACATAACTAATGTCTATATTGTCAAAAATGTACAGTAGTCAAAGGGATTTCACATCAATGTATTTATTAAGTATAAAATGGAACACATTTAATTCAGGTTAATACAGCAACATATAGCCAAAAATGTAAATACACAAAAGTACAAAAGAAAGCAAACAACGCAATGTAAGAGTGGATTTCGTCATGTGAAAGTTGATGTGTAGTACATCCAAACACTTTCCATAGCTGAAGTTGACTGATAGCAAATTAATAATCCAACATCTTGTAATGAAAACAAGCCACAGCTCTCAAACACCAGACTCTTCCTAACCAGGAACAGTCAAAAACAGTCCAGACTATGGTCTCACGTCGAAAAGAACTTTAAATCCATATTCAAACTGTCATGATGTGGTGACCTCACCAATAATGAGTCCTTCAACAATGGATACAAATACACTGTCTTAAACTCTTAGCATCAATCCAAACATAGGCCATACATACGTCTACCATCTCCGCAAAAAAACATCAGTAATGTACACTTTTAAATATAAAAAAAAAAAAAAAACTTGTGTAGACTGGGCTTGAAATTACACATTTCCCAACCAGGACACAGCACAATGTGCTCAGCAGGTGAGTCATGCTGGCTACTGCTGCTTGCTATTGCTAACTCTCTCTACCACATGGCTTTACTTAAGGAAACCTGAAACACTCTAGCATCCCTAGTGGTAAGGAAGAAAACTGCCCACAAAATTCTTATTAACAGGCTCATGTCTGGCCCACACTGGGCCATCATGGGATTAATGTGGGCAGTCCCATAGTGTACAGTCACGGCCAAAAGTTTTGGCAGTGACATACATTTTGTGTTTTGCAAAGTTTGCTGATTATAATTTAATTATAATTAAAATAATCTACATGAATTTGTAGATTATTTTTCCACATGTTTCTATGGTATACTGAAAAACAATGAAAAGCATATCATAAGTTCCCTCTCGAGAACGGTCTCTCGACATGGCGTTAATGCCTTGGGGACTCCCTTCTTTCCTAACCTACCTTAAATCTTATTGCACAATGCCAGTAAAGTTGC